GCACTGTTTTGGATCAGAAAACACTGTAGAGGATAGTGAAGACAGCTGTGAAGATCATCAGGGTCTATCTTCTCTCCATCACAGTCATTTACACCACAAGCTGCATCGGCAAAGCTGCCAGCATTGTGGATGACCCCACGCACCCCTCACAAAAACTCTTCACCCTGCTGCCGTCTGCCAAAAGCATTCGGGCCCTCATGGCCAGACTGTGTAACAGTTTCTTCCCCCAAGCCATCAGACTCCTCAATACCCAGGGACTGGACTGACACCAACACACACACACACACACACACACACACACACGCACACACACACACACACACACACACAATCATACTTAACTGAACAACATTCCACTACCTCTGCAAATTTTTGCACATTTCTTTCTTAAATTGCTGCTAAAACACTGTAAACAAAATATTGTACTTACCACCTGCATTTCTTATGCTAATTAGTATGTGATGTTTACATTTACAATATTTATTATTATATTGTAATATCTCTTTGCATTTTATTCCACACAAGAACTGTACTGGTTGGCACTGCACCGTCCTTCACTGTGCCTATTGTCCTGTTTAGTAATTGTTGTACAGTCTCGCACTGTTGCACACGTTTGCACACGTTTACTTTATGCAGCCCTGTGTATGTCTTTGTAGTCTTATTTAGTTCTGTGTAGTCTCATGTAGCTCTGTGTTGTTTATGTTGCCCCATGGTCCTGGAGGAATGTTGTTTGGTTTCACCGTGTACTGTACCAGCTGTATATGGTTGAAATGACAATAAAGCCTCTTGAGCTTGAACTTGTTTATTGTATAAATGAGTGTTGCTCCCGATGTTGTAGTCCACTGCAGTATCTTCTTTAATAGATAGAGCATTAGTGCATGAAAGCAGCATGTATCACAAGGCTCTCCTGTCTCCCATTAACTTGAGCAGTCAATCAACTCTATTACTTTTTCTTTTTATCCTCCTTTTAGAAGCTTGAAGGTAATGGCCAAAAGGCAGAAAGGTTAAATAGCTACCCAGATGAATGACTGATTTCAGTCTTTTACTGTGGAAGGCTTGAAAACAGAAAATGAAAGAGGAACTATAGAGGGGAAAAATATCCATTCCGGTGGCTACCTCAGGTGGTGTGCCTCTTTCCTTTCATAGGGTTAAGGTTGCATAAAATCAGCAAAGAGAACACTGCTGAGGAGATCATTTGCACATGAAGGTTTGCTGAGTGAGATGGGGTTTAACTCATAAACAGGCTGGATTTATCATCTGCAGTCACAGAGGCCCCTGGGCAAAGGGAAGGGAGGCTCATGATGTATACATCAATAAGAGATAATCTGTTCTTACTAAGTTTGGTGGAAAATGACATTCTAACATGCTGCACTCATCCAGGACATTGTGATGATGAGGAAACAGACATGCAGATCATTGCATGAGACCATTTACTGTGGCATGTCTGTGCATGGTTCTGTCACTCCCCATCTGCGAAGATTTGGTTCACAGGGTTCCACATTGCCTCTTAGATCTTGCATCTTTCTAGCTTGTACACCATTTATCTTAGAATAGATTTATGTTGCAATGATATTAAGGTGACTTAACAGTTTAAATCACACGGAATATGAATGAGTCCACTAGGTTGTGAAACGAGGTGCTGCGGGCCCCAAACATTAATTTACTGTTGCAATTATCTTATATAACAACAGATGGGGCTGATGAAAATACATTTTTTTCTGTCCAGAAAGCTTCTATGTAATAGCAACACACTTTATTTATATACAGAAGGGGTTAAAAGAATATCACACATATGTTGCCACAGTGATAGTATGGTCCTCTGTCTCCTCCTTTATCACAGGATAAGTATAAAATCATTTGTCTTGAAGGAGAAAGACTGAAAAGTGAAGGGGAGAAATACAATGTGGTAAACAGTCATATATTGCCAAAGTACGTAATGAGCACATCTTAGTGCGTTGTGTTAGTAGAACAGACTCCTCATGCATGGCCTCCTTTTTTGATGTGTGTACTCTTTTGCAGCTGTGTGTCACTTTTTTTGTGGTGATGAGTTTTAGCAAACTCAGCTGAGCAGCTCTCATGAGAGTTAATGGACTCGAGCGAGATTTGGGTGGGTGCTGTGGGCCATCTGCCAGCAGGGATCTCCTCCCACTGCTTATTATACTTGCCCAATGATAGAGCCTCTGTCCCATCCAATCACTGTTAAAATGAGGCCAAGGGTCCAGTGTGGGCTAGGGTTAGGTTTAGGTGTAGACATAGCACTAGTTAGCTGCATTAATAATGATGTCAGTGGAAGGCCTAGATTTCCTGCCTTCTTACACTATTCCTTGTCCTTAGTCTTTTTCTCCCCACTGATTTACTCTCTATCCATCCATACATCCATCTCTTACATGTCATGTTCCTTCTTCGGAGTTAGCAGTAAACATACATTTTTTATTTTCTGGCTTCAAACTGAGGAGGAGCCATACATACTCCTGGGTAATACTGACTAGAACAATATTATCACACTCTAGTCTCTGTCCAGGCACAAATAATGAGCTTGAGCATCAATCCAAGTGGAATTTCATTGCATTACAGCTGTGATATTGCTTGATTTCTGAAGAGATTTTTAACCATCCATATGCCAGCATCATGAATAAGCAATAAGAACTAGATCTGTCTTATACCTCTTGTCTCTTTATTTTTCTCACCCCCTCTTCCTCTCCTTCTCGCTCCATGTGGCAGTACTCTACGATTTTCTGGAAAATGAGCTGTCAACTGAGGGTTTGCAATGAGATACACCAGCTTTATTGGTGACTCTGGAAAATAATAACCTATTTTTAATTTCAATAAATTATTATGTTGTTTATATTATTATAATGAACCTACTATTTTACTTTTCATCTTCAATTAACTGTCCATAACAAGCACAGGGAAAAGCAATATAATCTAGAGCTGATTAGAACTGTTCTCTTTAGATGGGGGAAGGAGATTAAAGCAAAAGGTCACTGCAAACATTTCTATCATGATGAGAGTGGTCTCTTTCACCCATCCATAGTGCGCAAGGGCTCAGTGAATGGTTTAATGAGTATGAAATCGACGTATATATATCTCTCTTTCTTGATCTCTCTCCTTGACTTGATTCTTCATCCATTGTTCATACACAGACACCCAGATTGTCAGCACATCCCTCTCTGCAGTCGCTATCTGGATTTTGACACCTGCCAGTATTTTCATTAGGTGATCAGATGGCTGAAAATTAGAAATCTTCACTTAGACTGAATTTAGGGCAAGGCAGCAAAAGTATAATGTGAGAGACAGAGACACAGACTATTAAAATCAATTAGGAGCTGTAGTTGCCTCTGGGGTGTTGAGTAGTGGGAGGGTGGTGTGAAGTGGTCCTAGGGCAGAAGAGGAGATACATACCAATAAGGACAGAGAGACTAATGAATAAAAGACTCCCAGGGCAAGATGTGCCCTGAGTGGAGCAGGACAGAACCTGGCAGCCGGACACTAGCAAACCTCTCCAGGATCCTTAGAGAGAGGTAAAGAGAAAAACTATGACTATTTGGTAACTGCTGGCTTTCAACCAACCAACCAACCAATCAGTACCCAGGTTATGTATAAAATTCAGGTATTGTCTTCAAATTTGCAGGAAGAGTCTTTGATCAGAAGTGGTCCTCAAGGAAGTCTCTCATAGCTGCCACTGTGCATAATTCACTAGAGCCAGACTTTAAAACACAGAGCAAGATATGACTGAACACTCTCCCTTATCTGTACTGTCACCCATTCATCTCATTTTATTTATGCTGTTAGATACTCATTTCTGAATCACCTATACATCCTTAGTGCAGCCACAACCTAGCATTTACACAAAGTCTGACAGGGACGAACAGTGGTGTCTCCGCAAGGATGAATATTCACAGTGATATTGTGAAGCCTTTATAAACTGTAGAGTTTAGAGATATGATCAAAGGTTTGTAGACACCTGACCATGACACCCATATGTGGGCCTTCCCCAAACTGTTACCACAAAGCTGGAAGAACACAATTGTCTATAATGTCTTTGTATGCTCTGGCATTACAATTTGCCAGTTGACAATGCCAATATGCACAATGTGAGGTCCATGTAGAGATGGCATGCCAAGATTGGAGTAGAAGATCTGGAGTGGCCTGCACAGAGCTATGACCTCAACCCCACTGAACACTTTTTGATTCACTGGAATGCCAGCCTCCTTGCCCAACATCAGTACCTGACCTCACTAATGCTCTTGTGGCTGAATGGGCAAATCCCCACAGCCACACTCCAAAATCTAGTGGAAAGCCTTCCTGTTAGAATGGAGATTATTTTAATAGCAGAGGGTGGACTAAATCTGGAATGGGACATTCAAAATCACATATGAGTGTTATAGTCGGGGGAAGCACCTCAGAGTGTCCATAAAATCAAAATTGTTGTTTCAGACCTTTGTGACATGGACAACTAGGATTTTTGGCCTGTCTTCACAAATTTGGTGTCATACTGAGGTGTGAACCTCAATAATTATTAAAAACATGTTGACACCTGTAAACATTATGGCCACCATTTGCCAATGAAGTCAAAGGAGGTGGAGCTGGTTTACTCATATAGCTGTAATTCATTATTGGCTATATGGATTTGAATCAAACTGGAAATACATGTTCAGTACAAGGTTCTGAGGAGGTCTGCAAAAGGTTGGGGCATACATAGGGGGTGGAGTTTAAGTCCAAATAACTGTTTCTCAAGAACCATAAGGCCATTCAAACTGGATTTTGGTAGGGTGCATTTATGTGCTATCTGTAAGTGGATTTTTCATGCCCCCCGCCCCAGGGGCTCCCGTTCAGGGTCACCACAGCGGATCACCCATATATTTTGATTTTGGCACAAGTTTTACGCTGGATGCCCTTCCTGACACAACCTTTCCCATTTTCGAGGCTTTCTCATTTTCTAAGCCTTTCCCATTTTCCAGGTGCACTGGCTCATGCAACCTTCCATTTGCTGGGGTTGATTCCCTGACCAGGAATCGAACCCTGGCCCCAGTAGTGAGAGCACTGCATGCTAGCTACTAGTTCACCAGGGAACCTGTTTTTCATGATCCCTAATTACTAAAAAAAAGAAAAAAAAAAAAAAACATGGTCACCACTGGCAAATTGGGTTTTAGCAGGCATTTGACGTGGCTCCCATTAAGCTATTGTCATAAAACTTGAGTGGTAGTTTCAGGGAAGGACCTACTAGTAGCTAATGTGGTCTCACTCAAATTGGCCACTGGATTCATATAGGTTGAAGTTCAAACAGCTGTTTCTCAGGAACCAAAACTCCAGTTAAGCTGAAATTCAGTGTGCTGCATCGATCTGCTAATCTGAAACTGGATTTTTAATCATCACTGGATTTCATCAAAAACATGGCCATGTTTAAGAGGTATTTTGCACTTGATAAGTATTAAACTTGATAAGTATGTTCATGTATGATTTCTTTATGGTTCTATGTATCTTGGCAAGCGCTGGCCACTGGGGGCACTATTTGCGAGGAGTGCTTGGACCTTGCTGACTGCCGCTTGAGGATATATTTATGAATTAAATTAGGTGAGAATAATATACACTGCATGACAGAAGGAGGGGGTGTGGGGGTGTACAACTCTGTCTTTCCTACATCTGTTTCTGTAAAGAGTGGTAAAAAGACATAAGCACAACAGTAAAAAATAAAATAAAATAAAGAAGACTTGTATCCAGAGTCCCTTTGTGTCCTTCAGTGGCTTCAATGTATTAGATGATGTGAACTGTAGATCAGAGTTAGGCCCATCAAAGTGGGTAAATGGAAGAAAGGGGCATATTTGTAATCCCAGTTCTGCCCTGACTGTCCTGTATTTATTTTCTAAATGTATTAATTGTCTAAATGTATTCTTATAGTGTCTAACATTCACAAATGCTGATTTTACACACTTTATTTAAAACAGACATGTGGTAAATAATTATGGGAGTAATAGTGCTGTTAATCTAATTGTTCTTATACAGCAGCCATGAGATTTCATTGCTCTTGGTACCAGTGTATGACCAACCTTTTCACACACTTTAGCATTGTAATAAGAGGCCTGAAATTGTAATGGAATGATAATTCCATTTCCAATGCCATTATTTTACTGCATTTGTAAGGACCTTTTGGCCTATTCATTAAAAATAATCACTCAGCCTTGTTACTATTCTATCTGTGCACCACCAGAGAGAGACACTAAACCCAATGCAAGTATTGGCAGGAAGTGTAGGCATTTTCTTGATATTAATTAGTAAAAAAATTACTAAAGTAATAGTAGTAGTTCACACCTACTATTGTAACTGGACAAAAGTATGAGGCTGTTGTGCCTTTCCCACCACTGCAGTTGCTCTATTAACACTATCACCTTAATTTACACTCAATGAGCACTTTATTAGGAGCACCTGCACACATACTCACTCATGCAATTATTTCATCAGCCAATTGTGTGGCAGCAGTATAATGTATAAAATCATGCAGAAATGGGGAAGCAGCTTCAGGTAATGTTCAATCTGGTTTCATGACCATGACAATGAGTTCCATGTTCTTCAGTGGCCTTCCCAGTCAATATGAGTCCAATAGAACACCTTTGGGATGTGGTAGAATGGGAGAATTGCAGCGGGAAAGTGCACCTGAAAATCTTCAGGAATTGTGTGATGCAATTATGTCAACATGGAACAGAATCAAAAAGGAATGTTTCCAACATCCTGTGGAATCCATGCCATGGAGAATTGAGCTTTTGAGAGCAAAGGGAGGCCCTACCCAAGATTAGTATAATGTTCCTAATAAAGTGCTCAGTGAGCGTACACTTTCTGCACATTTGCCTTTTAAAATAGATCCAAGATAATCTGATCCAAAAAGTAGCTGTCCTAGAAAAACATCATCCACTCAGTAGAATCTCCTCTGATGGATTACCTCTTACAGGGAACACTTAATGTAATTAAGTACTATTAGATTTATTTCAATTAACAAAAGTGAATGTGAATTTGAATGTGCATGAGTTGTATTAGTGAATGTTATTTTTTTATAATTTGTGCAGTTAAAAAAATGGGAGCCCAGGAGCCACACTAACAAAACAATAGTCGCTTAGGTGTGCCTGAGTAATAATTAAAACAAGTAACCAGTAGTCAGTGAGCCCTATAATTATAGATTAATATTGAATGAAGAGGATTATTCATGAGATACCTTCCACCATGGCAACCCAGAGCCTGACAATTCCTTTCAGTCTCCATAGATTTCGCAGAAAACGAGTCACGCTACAACACTAGCCACCGAAGCAAGACAAAAATCATTCAAATAAATCTGCTGATCCATCCACCACATTTACATACAGCCTGGTTGCCCAGCGCAGCCACCCCATCCTGTGACACTGTGAAGACTGGTTAATTAACTATCTAGAATATGACATATGGCATGTTATCCATCACAAACAACAATCTCATTGGTCCTCCTGCCAGTTCTACATGAACCCAGGACCTGACTGGCTGAAAAGAAATATACAGTTTGTAAATAATTCTATGGGTGATTTGTTTTGGAGCACTGTCCTCTCTATCTTCTTTTCCTCTCTCATCAGCCAAGTCTTCCCCAGGCAAGTCAGTATGATAGCAACAAGTGCAGAAGGAAGTTACAGGGAGTGCAGAGCCAGACTTATATTTTTGGCCTGAGTACCTTCTTTACAAACATTTTTAATTCCACCCTCATTTTCATAACCAAATGTAAAGTAATTTCTATCATTCATTGAACAGCTTAAGCTTGTTGGCTTATGAAAGCAGATATCCTGATGATTCTAGTCACAGAAATCAAAGACATGTTTAGCATGACAACACAAACGAGTCAAGTAATTAAACAGCTGAGAGCCCTGCCTTTGGTATTAAACCCCACTCTTATTCACTGCGGTGCCACTCCTTACCACTCTAACCTGGGATAAGTGAGTGGCAGGAGCGGAGAGCAAACATGACCCCCTACCAACTCCTGCCAGCCAAGCAGATGTCTTAGTAAATGGGAGTCAAAAAGACATATCAACATTAATTCCCTGCAAAATGAGCCATCAGAATAACGCATGAGGGTGCGTGAGAAATGTAGATCTCCAATCTTCAGCCTTTGCCAGCCTAATTACTGTCATTCAGGCCAGTCTAGAGCCAGTTTCTACCATCAATAATGCTACTCCTCATGTATCAAAAGCTGGATTGGGTTCAGAGCAAGCTCCTGCTATGTGAACGAAGCGACTTCAAAGAGCAAGCTAGGGTATGATTCAATCTTCATGTCTGAGGCCCTGATCTAGCATCAGTGTGAGAGAAGTGTAAAAAGGTGTACTCACACTGAACAGCCTCTTTATTACCCCCCTCTCCTCCCCAGTTATCTTTTTTTTTTCCTTGCTTGTACTCTATCTCACACACTCATACCTGGATCTGATAGCTGGCAGCTGTTGGGAGGCACAGTCATATTGAGTACATCGTTCACAGCTGTGTCAGCATAGTGGCCTCTCTGTACATCATGCTCACTGTCCGTCTGGTCACTTTCTTCATGACCACTGTCCTTTAGGCTGTTACCCTCCATGTCCTTAAATGTTGATGTACTAAAAGAAAGGAGGTGAGAGACAAAGTTTTCAATTTGCTGTTACATTGTGTTCAGTCTGACTCCTCTGTTTTCACTCTACAATATTTACAGTATTTAAAATAACTGTGATTGCTTTGTGTCAAAGGAATTGATAATCATAAAAATTGCTTTATATCAGAGTAACTGAGTGGCTATTTGAGAAAGGGTGAAAAAAGATGGCAGTTGACAGCTGCAGTGAACAAGCTTGATTTCCTCTAATTTGATAGCCATCTCCCATCTCACTATGCACACACACACACACACACACACGTACACACAGACGCACGCGCCCTGGGTACTGCTCCAAGGAAGGGGAGTGAGACAAAAGGAGGGAGGCAGCCTGTGCATTTCTGAGGCCATGAAACCACTGCAGTGGCACTACTGCAGACTCTGATTTTGTCAGTCTAATTGCACCTGTGCCCCACACCCTACACCCACACCCCAGGGGATTAGTGCACTGTAGGGACAGTGCTTTAATATTTTTTATTTATGAAAACACTTGGTTCTTTTTTGGCAGGAGACAAATTTTCCAAAATGGGCTTTACATAAGTGCCACTGCCTCGATTCAGGCTGAGCTTGAAAGCTAGATTGTAACGAAGATCCTAGTGCAAATTTAGTAGTCAGTAAACCCTTGGGTAGTGAAGCTGCTTTCATTAAGAATGTCCATGTGCTCAGCCTCTCTATCAGTCACTAGTCGGCCAGGTGGACCCAGGAATGCCAGCCAAGTCTTTACAGGATAGCAGGCCCATTGTTCCTTGTTGTCTCTTTCCACAAAAGGAAATGACCTTTCTTCTTACTTCAGTGGCCTTAAAATGCCCCTTCTCTCTGTGTGCACTGATTCTGCACCCACTGACCTTCTAGACACAAGTGAGGTTCATTTAGAGTACTGTGATGATCTAAACTGTAGATTAATTTTAATATTCTCTCACAGCCAAAATACATATATGCTTAGGAAATTTCAAAGAATCCTTTATAATAATATGAAAAAACTTCTTAAGGCAGATATGTGTTAAGTGATATGGACACTCAATTATTAACAAATATACTGTATACATGCTGCTGAGTCAAAATAAAAATGTTTAAATCTGGTTCTTTTATAATCTTACATGTTTTTAATCAGTCAGCTATTACTATGTTACATCACCTGCAAAAATCAACAGATTATCAAATGGAAGTGAAATATATACATAAAAAAAATCAGATCATACCTTTTGATGAGGTGTGCTCTGCTGTTTACATAGCTGGAATCAATGGAATAATTCTCTGTCTGGAGAGAGAAAAGGGGTGCATTTAATTATACAGAAACTAAAATAAAATTATTGCTAACTGTCTTTCAATAGAAATGCTATTTACGCAGACACTTGTGAACCGCCTTAGCTGTCAAAGGCAAGTTCTTATTCTCTTTCCGATCATACGTAGACTGCTTTGCTGCAGTGAGCCCACTCCCCCCATCCTTTT